GGCTGCCCGAGTACCCGAATTACCTGTACGTAATGCCCGAGTGCACTAACTGCCCAATATTGTTAGGCCACGTGGTCTAATCCACATGTAGTTTTTATATTCATTCTTATTCATTAGTTTGCTTTATTAGACAGTCTAATTGTGCGATCAACTGACTTCTTTCGAGGTAGATTGTCTTCCACGCTAAGCTCATGCATTCAGTTTCTCTGGTCGATCCATCGATCTGGATGGCTTCAGGTTGAGTTTCTACTAGACCATTCGAGAGTATTAGCTCGACCTATAGTTCATTCGATCTTCGATCGACCTGTCAATTCACCCGATTCAATTAGCTGGTTTTCTCGGGTCAAGTCAACCCAGTATGATATCTAATACTCCCTCCTATTTTTATTATTTGTCATTTTGGCTTAGTTGATCATTTGCTAAATAAATGTCGTTTTGGCTATTTTATACATATTTTTCCATTATTACCCTCATCTATCTAACTAATAAATACATTACGTCTTTTCATATTCACTCTCCATATTTTCTCAAAACATCAATCTCTATCCTCATTAATGAGGAATATTATTGACAAAAAAATTATTCTTAATTACTGTGCAACTTTTCAAAACGACATTTATTAAAAATAGGAGGGAGTATCAATTATAATATTTATTATGTACATGGCATTATTATTACTTTATAAAATACTGGTGGAGGTCATGGAGAGTGAAACTACGGCCACTCTTTAGTCCACCTAGGAGGACACTTAAAAGCCTGTTGATCGGAATATACCTTATCCAAAAAAAATAAAATAAAAAANAGGCCTTTGATCTTCATATGACATGCACTTTGACATAGATATCTATGCATATCTTGGACATTTGCTTAAAGGTTAAAAGGCATGCTTAATTAGCATTTGGGTTGCTAAATTTAATGCACTCAGATGTCTGACCAACCGCACCTTTCCACGCCAATTCTTTTTGACTCGGTGAGCCCCGCAAGAGTCTTGACAGAAACTGCATGGAGTCGGTTCCAAGGAATAAGGGGTAAAATAATAAAATCATATATATGTATTATATAACATATTTTCTTAAAAAAATGCAGCTTGAATTTTATGAAAATTAATATTTTAAATTTTTTCGTGCATTATAACTACAGTTATATGTGGTTATATAGATGATTGTATAGTTAACTAAGAGAATTTAGTGTTGTAATCGAACCTAACGGGTCGAGTTTGGACATTTCGAGCTCGTGTTCGTTTGTGTTCGTACCATGTTCGTGTTCGTTTGTTTATGTTTCGAGCAAAAATTTATGTTCGAGTTCGTTCGTTTAATTCTTTGTTAAAGTTTGAGTTCATAGGTGTTCGAAAAGTCCAGGAGACAAACTTTATAAAATTTCTTGGATAACTTAAAATTTGTTCGTTCAAACTCGAAAATAAAAAATAAAATAAAATTACTTCTATATTTTATTTTATTTATTAAAATATCATATAAATATATAAAAAATAAAATAAAATTATATTAAATTAATGTTTGTCGAACGCTCACCAACGAGCTCGTGTTTGTTTGATTATTGCACGAGTCTAATTAATTTTCTATTCGAATTCTGCTTGATTAACAATCGAACGAGCTCTTGTAAAAAACGAACGAGCTCGAACGAACTTTTGTTTGCGAACTTTCAGTTCGTTGACAAACCTAGTTAAGATCTACTAAAGATTGTAAAATATAAAATGTTCATAGAATTCGTAATTATGAAAAAAATTGTGTATACATGTTTTTTTAATTTGTCAAGGAATCTATATAAATATATAGTTTATCACAAAACGTGAGTTATGCTTGCCAAAAGATGGGTGTTGAGGTGTTTCCATAGCCCATGGGATAAAATGTTCGATGGATGTGGGTATTTGAATTATTGCATGGAGATCAGGAATCTAATTTACCATACATGCAAAGGAGAATGGAATTTCTAAATGGATGTGAATTATTATGAGGAACTTATTCTCGTTAATTGATTATATATTCTTTTCCTTTGAATAAAAATCAAGTTCTTGTATTGTCTATAGGTTTGAAGTGATTTGAACCATTTTAATTAATGGAACAATGTCAACCGCTTGAATGAGCACAAAGGTTGTGTTAAACAAAACACATCCGAAATATCTAAATATTTATTATTATTTATGTTAGAAACATTAATTTACAGTACAAAGGTATAAAGAAGAAATTATATAGAACTTTAAGGTATGTTGATTTAGTTCATTGACTTTGGTACAATTTGGATTGATCCAGCCGGCCAAGTCTTGTTGAAAAATGGTTTTTAAGGAGAAGACACTCTAATTGTCAATAAGTTGGTTGATTAACTTAAACTAAAAATATCGCAAGGAATTTATAAAATTGCAATAAAGAAAAACACAGAGAACATTTAAGTGGTAGATATTTATACTTCTCGAAAGATGGATAAGAGGGATATTATGGTTCGAAAACACGCAGTCAATTAATCAAACTAGTATTTGATCTTGTGCATTTGCACAGATATAAAACACGTTTTTATTTGTATATATTAATTAGGCATGTACTTCTATTATATAAAAATTATTACTTTTTCTTAAGTTATTTTTATCATTCAAAATTAATTGAGATTTAAATTTTATTTTAACCATGCAACATTTATATTAGTAACATGAATAAAATAATTTTTATATATGTGGCATATATTAAGAAAATTAACATAAATAAAAAAAATATTAGTATTTCTGATTTTTAGAAAAAAAAAAGGTGTGTCAATCATGTTTTTCTTCCAACAATGCAACCAAATATAGCGGTTACAACTCTGAATGTGCCAATCAACTTTAAGTTCCAATTGCCGTTACACATTTGAATATTTTCCTACCAAATTTAGAATTAATTTAGTAACTGATCCAAAAAATAAATAATAAAAATATATTTATTAGTGTAACGGTTTTAGCAGATTAGTGAGTAATTAATTAAAAAAATATAACTCTTTTTGAAGAGAAATGAAAATAATTTTATTAAAAATTTTATTAAATGCATCAACTAATAATTATATATATATATATATATATATATATATAGATACTAATCCAGAACATAATTGAGTAATCGTATTCAACTTAAGTCAACAGAATAGATAAAGTCTCAATATCTCTCGAACAGTTATAGCACTCGGTCCTACGTTTGAACCTTTCATATTATCCTGACACCAAAATAGTACAAGCTATGTCTCATCTCTCAACCTTCATAAAACCAAAGCATGCAATCGATGTGGTACCAATCAATTCATAACTTACATTTAATTATAAAATCACATATTTCTTCCCCCAAGTAAAATGTAGCTCACATACTCACAAATGATTCATCATAAAGTAAAGAAACATAAAAAATTAAGAAACTTAACTTTGCACTAAGCACTCAACTCCCCATTATCATCCAAGAGTAATAACAAGCATAAAGTTGCAATTTTGATGCACAAATAAAAATACAAATGGAATCTGCTTTGAGCAACCTAGAGAAAGGTATAATTAAGGTGAGTTATGGTGGGGGATGGGCTTGGAGTGGGCCGGGGTTGTGGTGGGATAGGTTTGGTGTGGGCCTTCTAGGTGCGGCTCAGAAGTTGACCTCTGGTTTGGATGTGGGTGAATCTATGTTAGTCTACCAGTTCTTAGTGTGAAGGAAGTGACTAGGTTTGCATTCTCCGCTATGGCTTGGGGTCGTCTTCGTCTCTTCTCTCGTGCGGTGATGGTTTAGCTATAGGGCGAGCAACTTGTCGATTGTTGAAGATTTCCTTATTTTTATTATATTTTATTTTATTTTCTTTTTTCTTTAAGTCTTTTTATTGTTTTTAGGATATGTGGGAGTTATGTGATTTTATGTCTTTGTTTTAGTGTTTATTCCCTTTTCAAGAACCGTATTATCCACTAGTGGGAGGAATGTAATATGATGGGTGTATTGTGGTAGTCTAGATTTCTCTTTGGAGTGTTCTCTTATTAGATTCAGTCGTGTAGCTGCTTGATTCGACTGTTACAAATTGTTCTCTAGACTATAAATATGTGTTTATTTATAAAAGTCTATCGTTCCAAAAAAAAAATGTACAAGTGATTGGAAAATTAATGTTTAATTTATACTAGAAATCTATTTAAAAATATCCAAAATGCCCTTGAAACTTGAGATGATCACTCCCGAGCTGTTGGACTCACGACCTAGGAGTCCCATGGGTGGATGGATCCGCTTGTGGGCTCGAGGACTTGTTGCACGGGGT